CAACAAGCACAGGGAGGCCTCATGGCGGCCTTACAAACTCAGGGACCTAAAGTAACCAACAGGATGGTCTGAAATTAAAACATTCTAACTAAAAGCAGTTCATGGGTAGTAGTATTTCCTGACAAAGGTCAATCTTCATTACCACGCCAGAGTAGGAGACCACAGAACCCCTCATTGCCATTGTTACCATGTTAATTGTTAGCTGTTAACTATCCTATGCCCACAAATGCAAAAGAAGGGTCCGTTCCTTTTACTTTTTATTGTTAATCCTCACCTGAAGATATTTTTTCCACTGATGGGGAGATATAGAGAGAGGGAATCATTGATGTGAGAGAGATGCAGACACAGCGATTGGCTGCCTCCCCCACATGCCCCAGAATTGAACCCAGGACCCTTCATTCCAGGGGTTGATACTCTATCCATGAGCCAAACTGGCTAGGGCTCCTTTCACTTTTTATCTAATCCCAGAAATTCCAATCCCCACCCCTGCCTCCCCTTTCTCCCACCTCCCCAATTTATCACCAATGAATTTCATGTAACCTCTTACTCCTCCTTTGGTTGCAATATATAAAATAAGGGCAAAACTGCCATTTTCTGAAGCCCATTTTTTCAGCCTTTTGAGATTTTGGTTCCCAACAATTGTCCGTTTGGCTCAAATAAACTCATAAAAATTCTTACAGGTTTGGATGTCTCTTACATTGACATTGCAAAAAACATCTAACAGGGTATTGCTATTTAATATTGAATTCTAACTTATCCCTCACTCGACCCGTGTGTTTTTTAGAGGGTCGCTACATGAAAAATGCAATTGTTTCCCACAAAACTGAACGATCTTAATCCCTCGTAAATGTAATTGTTTCCCACATATCTTGATAGTGGACATGGCCATTGCTTGCATATCCTCTCAGACTCCTTCCACTCCTCAGTGCTCCTCTCTCCCAGCTTTTATGTGCTTCTGCTTTCAACCTCCTGAGCCGCCACCACTGGTCCTCAAAAGACTGTTCTCCAGCTTACGGAGCGGCTTTGCCCAGACTCAGAGGCCTGGAAGGGCCTGGGAGTTTATGGTCCCTCAGGGTGATGCTTAGCTAATGAATGATGATGTTGGGAGTTAAAAGTCTGTCCTGGCCCTGCAGCTCCGGGTCTATGATTTACACTCCAGAGCTCCCCTGTGAAGTCAGGTTGAAACTGCTTTCCCAGGAATTGGCTGAAATCAAAGCCGTTCTGCTTTCTCCTTTGTTGGGATTCTCCCTCTTGCTTCTAGGAGCACTTCCTTGCACACTAATCCCCATCTCAGGGTCTGCTTCTAGAGCATACAACTGAGGCAACAGGCCAAACAGTGACCTTTCCACAGGCGCTTAATAATTCTCCAGAATCGAACCTAGCAGCACAATAGCCTTGCCTTCTGCATTAGCCTAAAAGCTCCTTGCCCTTTGAAGGCAGGCAGGAGTCACAGTTGATCCTGATACTTTATCTTATTCTCTGTTGAAACTGGAAATGATGTTTATACCAAGTGAGCTAAATTCCTGGGTAAATGAAGAATATAGGGTCAGTAGTCGGTAATTTCATTTGGGATTGAATCTAGATGTAGTGAAAATTGTGTGTCTCTCATTGTTATTCCTGTAGATAAATTAGTCTGATATCTAGACAAAAGATGGCTTACTTCTATAAACCACTCTTAAAACTAGATGACAAAGATGCCTTTCTCCTTGAACTTTTTTTTAGTTCTAAAGAATTAAATAAATAGGACAGTACTGCCTCTTCACTCAATTATGATAAATTGCCTTATCTTTTATATTGTGGAAGAGAGCAAGGAGAGTGGCTGTACTTTTTAATTTACCTTTATTTGCATAGCTCTTGAAATTAGAGGACATATGTGGATTGTAGAAAATAAGTTTATAAACCTGTAATCAATGTAATATAATGAATGATATGTCATCTAAATGAGGCCTTCCTTTTCTACATAATGGAGCCATAATAGGTATGGTAATATGCATTATTAGTTTAATGGATGATATTTTACTCTTCAAGCCCAGCATAAAATTAATTTCCCATCAATTTGAATCAGTTCTGTGCACCAGGAAGTGGATCATTGAAGAATAGGATTATAATATTAATTAAATATAGTTTTTTTCCCCTAGTCATTCATTCTTAGAAACCAATAAATATTTATTCACTACTCTCTGGAAAAATGCAATACTTTCATCAGATAAAATGTTCATTTTCCATGAGTGATTTTCATAGCCCCAGTGCATACTCTCTGTTCCAGAGGTAGCTGGTTGGGACTATATAGGGTACAATATGTCTAAAGAGTTTTCTATAAGTAGAAATATAACTTAGGTTTTCATTCTTCTTTGCTGCTTTTTTTTGTTGTTGTTGTTGTTTGTCACATCTTGGTGTTGCCACAGAAGAAGAAAAGCATAGGAAGATTTCTTTCCTTTCCTCTCTAAGTGTCAGTCATGGAGAGGTAAATTAGACATTCTGAAACTTGTTGCCACGTGCGACGGGACACTGGAAGCACATCTTCTCTGAAGGTGGATCCTTGGGACCGAAGCTCTGCTGGGCGACCTAAGGACAGTGGTCTACGTTCTCCAGAGGCCTCCTGTACACAAAATATCTGTCTTCTTGGCTCTTTCCTTCAAGCATTCTTGGATTGCATATCACTTTGGAGAGACCTTAGTTTTGGAAACACCTCAACTGTACAATTTAGATCAACTGATTTAATAAATACAAAGTGCCTAGAACAGCTCCTAAAATATTTAAGTACTCCCTAAGGATTAACTATGTTATAGGCCAATAATTCCTTCTCTGAAACCCTTGGACTCTGATGTATTTTGAAATTCAGGAATTTTTAGATTTTAAAACAGAAATAAGGTGGATATACTGTATTTTGTACAATATCTTCATCACCCCAAATTGAACACATTATATTTCTTTAATGAAACGAATGAATATTTACCAAAGTATATCATAGATAGCTTCATGTCAATTCTGGTCAGATTGTGCCACAGAAAAATTATTTTAAAATTTTTGGTTTTTAGAGGGTCTTCAGTTTTATAGTTATGAATAACAGATTAGGAATCTAAGTCATCATCATTATTATCATTATTGTCATCATCTTTAAAAAAAGAAAAAAAAATTTAGAGCAGTTTTAGATTCCTGACAAAGTTAGGTGGAAGGTGCAGAGAGTGCTCTGTCTTGCACCCATGCATAGCCTCTTCATTGCACACAATCCCCACCAGAGTGGCACATTTATTGCAATTGATGAACCTGTATTGACAAGTCATTATCATCCAAAGTCCATAGTTTATATTGTGACATATTCTTGATGTTATGCATTCTAAGGGTTTAGACAAATATATAATTACATGTATCTACCATTATATAAAACTGGAGGCCCGGTGCATGACATTTGTGCACTGGGGGGAGGCGGGACGGGTCCCTCAGCCTGGCCTGCACCCTCTCACAATCTGGGACCCCTCAGGGGATGTCTTACTGCCAGTTTAGGCCTGCTCCCTGTGCTGCCACCTCTTCCACCACAGCCCCTATGCTTGCCAGCCGTAAGCTCAGCTCACTGTTTCTGGCTGAGTGGTGCTCCCCCTGTGGGAGTGTACTGTCCACCAGGGGACAGCTTCTGCATTGAGCATCTGCCCCCTGGTGGTCAGTCAGTGCATGTCAGGGTGATGGGTCGTTCCACCATTCAGTCAATCTGCATAATAGGGTTTTATTATATAGGATATTTTCAATTTCTAAAAATCCTCTGTGCTCCACCTATTTATTTCACCCCTTTCTCAACCCCTTGGCAACCACTGGTCTTGTTATTGTTTTAGAATTTTGCCTTTTTCAGAATGTCTTCTAATTGGAATCACAATATATATCCATTTTAGATCGGCTTCTTTCTCTTAATAATATATGTGTACTAAGTGTCCTTTAAGTCTTTCCCTGGCTCAGTAGCTCATTTATTTCAGGGCCAAATAATATCCCATTGTCTGATATACAACAATTTGTTTATTCATTTATAAAATGCATCTTGGTTGCTCCCAAGCTTTGGCAATTATGAATAATGCTGCTGTAAACATCTATGTGCAAGTTTTTGTGTGAACATAGATTGAAAATCCTTTGGGCAACTATCAAGGCACAGTTGCTGGGTCATATGGTAAGAGTATGTTTGGCCCTAGCCAGTTTGCTCAGTGGATAGAGCATTGGCCTACGGACTGAAGGGTCCCAGGGTTGATTCCTGGTCAGGGAACATGCCTCAGTTGTGGGCTCCATCCCCAGTAGGGGGTGTGCAGGAGGCAGCCGATCCATGATTCTCACTCAACATTGATGTCTCTATCTCTCTCTCCATTTCCCTTCCTCTCTGAAATTTAAATATATATATATATATATATATATATATATATATATATATATATATATATATATATATAATAAAATAAAAATAGCTGCAGTCTTTACTTAGAGAGCAGGGCGTCCAGCTTGCAAGTGGGGAATCTTGTGTGGCACGTGACTCACGATGGATTTAAAAATGGGTGATGTTGAGAAGGGCAAGAAGATTCTTGTTCAGAAGTGTGCCCAGTGCCATACTGTGGAAAAGGGAGGCAAGCACAAGGCTGGGCCAAATCTCCATGGTTCTTTGGGCAAGACAGGACAGGCCCCTGGATTTTCTTACATGAATGCCAATAAGAACAAAGGATCACCTGGGGCGAGGCTACACAGATGGAGTATTTGGAGAATCCCAAGTACACCTCTGTAACAAAAATGATCTTCACTGCCATCGAGAAGAGTGCAGAAAGGGAAGACTTGATAGCTTATCTCAAGAAAGCTATAGTGAGTAATAGTTGGCCACTGCCTTATTTATTACAGATGTCTCATGACTTTTTTAATGTGTACCATATTTAAACTGATCTCATACACCACAATTCAGATCATGAATGGCTAACAGAGCATTTCTTTCGGGCAGTCCTGATTTAAATAAGATTGGTTGTTGTTAAATGAATATGGTCACTGTTCTCTCTTCTAAAAATATGGCTGGACTTGATTCCTAGAGTTCAACTTTTCACAGAGGTGGTGAGTGCCATCTCAAAACTGTAGGAGATTGGCTTATATCTGGATTTATATGACTGGTTGTATTAATAATGTTTAAATTCTGAGGAAATCCCTTCACTGTCTCTTAGACCTGCTTGTGTTTCAAGCAAGATTTGCTTGTGTTTCAAGTTGTGTTCATTAACCTGTTAAAAGGAAGGGCTGCAGATAAGCTGGCAGTGGCCATTTTATTTCTTTGATCCCAACTATGCCAATTTAATAAAATTCCCTGCATCTAAACTGTTACCTTTTACTGAATGAAAGGCATTTTAGTTTGGTTTCTATATAATATAAATAAAGAATATTGAACACTTCTACATTTTATAGGTGATCTTTAAGGTCAGGTGCTTTTAAAATTCAGCATGACAAGTAGCAAACTTTGTGAATTCTTTAAGTCAGACTAAGTTAAATTCAGGATTGTCTTGAATAGCTATTCATTAACTATATATGTATGTGATTGGTGCTCATTAGGATTAAAGTAGAGAATAGATCATCAACAGAAAACTATAAATTATATTATCGAAATGCTAAAAAAAAGAGAGAGAAAATATGTTTAGTTTTGTAAGAAGTTGCCAAACTGCCTTCCAAAGTGGCTGTACAACCGGCGTGGCAATCATCACACTGTTGTTCATGTCTATTTACTTTTAATTTATTTGTCTTTTTATTTAAAGTATGTTTCTCTAGAAAATATACAGTTGGTTCATGTGAATTTTTTTTCTTCGAGTTCACAGATTTTAATTAACAGTTTGAAATTTGTAATATTGCTTCCATTTCAGATGGATGAGAATTTAACACTCTATTAAAGGAGCCCAGGCAAAAGGACATGAGTCATGTCACAGAGACTTATTAAATGTGATGGAAATTGAGCAAACAAATGCTGGCAAACAGGTGCGAGAGCTGAATTAATTTTTATTTATTTATTTTTTAATAATTCATTTTTAGTGAATTTTTTAAAATCCATTCAGACAACCTCTGTCTTTTAGTTGGTAAATTTAGACCATTAATATTCAAAGTGATTATTGATGTAGTTGGATTAATATCTACATATCTGTTACTGTTTTCTATTTGTTGCCTTTGTTCCTATTTTTGACTTTCACTTTTTCTGCCTTTTGTGATTTTAACTGAGCATTTTATATGATTAATTTTCTCCCATTTTTTTTTGCTTAGTATCTATTCTGCTTTTACTTTCTTTAGTGGTTTCCCTAGAGTTTGCAATCCTATATAATAAAGAACTAATATGCTAATTCACATGTGTCAAACACAAGGCCCACGGGCCAAATTCGTCCCGCCAGGCCTTGCAATGTGGCCCGCACCGCGATGTCATCACTGCACTCCGCTGAGTTTCCATCACAGTGACAGTTTATGACTGTTCAGTAAACCATTCGGCCCGCGATTTAGGCTGGATTTTAGATTTTGGCCCCTTCTCTGATTGAGTTCGACACCCCTATGCTAATTAGACCCAACAACAGAATAACCATCCATATGACCCTCTGGATGACCTTCCAGATAAAGCCAGGGCTGTGAAGGCCAGCTGAGGCAGTTGGGGCTGTGGGGGCTGAGCCCCTTGCATGAATTTTGTGCATCAGGCCTCTAGTATACATTTAAAACTAATCCAAGTTCACTTTCAAATAACATTATATCATTTTATGAGTAGTGTGAGACCCTTATAATCTATATCTATATCTATATCTATATCTATATCTATATCTATATCTATCTATCGATATATCTATATCTTCCAAGCAACTGGAATGATGGAACAACCAGAATGACCAAAATGACAGGAAAGACAGGAATGACCAGAACAACTGGGTGCTATGACACACACTGACCCGATCAGGGCTCCAATGGCCCCTTCTTTATTATATAGGATTGCAAACTCTAGGGCAACCACTAAAAAAAGTAAAAGCAGAATAGATAAAAATGGCAGAAAAAGTGAAAGTCAAAAATAAGAACAAAGGCAATAAAGAGAAAACAGTAACAGATATGGTAGATATTAATCCAACTACATCAGCCGACCCCCAATTAGCCCCCCACCCCAATCAAGGGCGGGGCCAGCCAGCCAACTTCTTGCATCTCCTCCCCTCTGCCCCCACCAGTCTGGTCCCAATAGGTCCCCATCAGGGCAGGCAGCCAGACGGTGCATGAATTCATGCACTGGGCCACTAGTAATAAAATAATCTTAATTTCCTTCTCCCCCCTTGTGTCATTCATTTCATAAGTATATATATATTTATGTAGCATACATATATATTCAAATGATCAAATATAATCATATTGTTTTCCTTCTGGCTAAAGTACTTCTTTTAACATTTCTTGCAAGGCAAGTTTACTGGCAACAAATTCCTTTAATTTTATTTGAGAAAGACTTTATGCTTCTTTATTTTTGAAGAGTGATTTTGCAGGTTATAGAATTTTAGATTGATTTTTTTTTTCTTAAAATTTTAAATATTTCATTCCACATTTTTCTTGCTTGGATAGTTTTAGAGGGAAAATTGAATGTAACTTTTATCTTTGCTCTTCTATAGGTAAAATATTTTGACATCCTAGTTTCTTCCAGGCTTTTTTCTTCTTTCCAAAATTTTCTTTATTGTTTAAAGTATTACAGATGGCCTCCTTTTTCCCCCATTGCCCCCTTCTAGACTCCCCTCCAAGGTCTTCACCACAATATTGTCTGGGTCCATGGATTATGCATATATGTGTATAAGTTATTGGTTAATATCTTTCTACCCTCCTACCTTCCCTCTGAGTTTTGTCAGTCTGTTCCATGCTTCTGTGCCTCTAGATCTATTTTGTTCATCAGTTTATTTTGTTCATTAGATTCCACATATGAGTGAGATCATGCGAATCTTATCTTTTTCTGACTGGCTTAGCATAATACTCTCCAGGTCCTTCCATGCTGTCTCAAAGGGTAAGATATTCCTTTTTAGAGCTGCATAGTATTCCATGGCTTTTTCTTTATCTTTTTTTTTTTTTTTTTTTTTTTTTTTTTTTTTTTTTTTTTTTGTAGTTTAAATGTGATATGCCTGGGTATGGGATCTTTCTGTTCCCTCCTCCTCCCTCCGCCTTTTCTTCTATGAGCTTCCTAGATCTATGGTTTGATGTGTGACATTAATTTGGGGAAGTTCTCAATCATTATTGTTTCAAACATATCATCTGTTCCCTTTCTTCTTTTTTCTCCTTATGGTATTTCCATTATGTTTATGTTACATCTTTTGTGGCTGTCACCCAGATCTTGTATATTTTGTTTTAATGTTGTTTGTTTTTTTTCTGTCTTTTTTTTCTATTTGTTTTTCAGGTTGAAAGGTTTCTATTGAGATATCCTCAAGATATTCTTTCCTTAGCTGTATTTAGTTAACTAAAAAGCCTATTAAAGGTATTTTTAACTTTTATTATAGTTTCTTTTTAATCTCTAGCATTTATTTTGAGCAGAGTGGGTATAGCAGAGTGATGGTTAATTTGCATAATATATGCAAATTAACCATAGCAGCACAATCTGTGTTCATAGCAGCACAATCTACAATAATAAAAGATAGGATTATTTGTGTGACCTTCGTGGATGGTGGAGTGGTGTGAGGTGAGCGCTTACAGAGTAATAGAGATCGGCAAGGAAGTCCAGGGCATGGCCTTGGAGGCACCTCTCCCCAGTGGGACCTCTCCTCCGTCAACTCTTCCTTGCCGCAGAGTTAGTGACCATTGTATCCTGTGGCGCTTGAGTTATGGTTAAGCTTGTGGCAGCAGTTTAAGACTATGGCTCTTCAGTAAGATGATGTTTATTCATTGAGTTAGACTCAAGCAACTTGAAGGCTTGCCTAACTTCCTCAGTATATTTTAAATTGGTCATAGCAAAATTTTACAAAAAAGAGTTGGTTACTGAAGAATAGGAAAGGATATTTGGTCACAAGATTGGAAAATCTACTAACTATTGCTTAAGTTAGCATAATCTTGAAAGCATTTTACTCTAAATAATTGTGGACAAGTTGTAAAAGTAGCGGGAATTACTAGATTCTGAGGTAGAATTTGGCCTTGTCATACCCATGACAAACTCGTAAAAATGTGGAAAAATCAGGTGGCTTTAGAAACTAGCAAAGATAATTTTTAGTTAAAATTTAACTTCAAAATCCTTTTTTTGTTAATTTCAAGTGCTTCTGGATAAAAATATTAATGTACTCTAGCATAAAGAGAATTTTCTTATGCACAAACTTTAGTCAACTGGTTTAGTGATCTCTCTAATCTTATTTATATTAACTTATTCAGCCTAAGTGTCAGGTAGAAGAATAATTAAAGTTAATATATCAAGAAAAGTATCCACCATTCAAATGTTCTGTCAGAATAGTTAATGTTTTCCTTTTTGGATATGCTTTGAAAGAACTTGTAGGCACAGCAATCCTGAGAAAGAAGGGTAAAGTAGGAGGGGTCTCAATACCAGACTTCAAACTATATTACAAAGCCACTGTTCTCAAAACAGCCTGGTACTGGCACAAGAACAGACATATAGATCAATGGAATAGAATTGAGAACCCAGATATCAACCCAAATCACTATGCTCAATTAATATTTGACAAAGGAGGCACGAATATACAATACAATGGAGTCAAGACAGTTTCTTCAATAAATGGTGTTGGGAAAATTGGGCAGACACATGCAAAAGAATGAAACTAGATCACCAACTTACACCATACACAAAAATAAACTCAAAATGGATGCAGGACTTAAACATCAGATGGAAAACCATAAAAATACTAGAAGCATCCACAGGCTGCAAAATCTCAGATGTATGCCAAAAGAACTTCTTCACTGATACTGCCCCTAGGGCAATGGAAGCTAAAGAGAAAATAAACAAATGGGACTACATCAAAATTAAAAGCTTTTTTACAGCAAAAGAAACCATCAACAAAACAACAAGAAAGCCCACGGTGTGGGAGAACATATTTGCAAATAACACCACTGATAAAGGTTTAATCTCCAACATCTACAGACAGCTGATACAACTAAATAAAAGGAAAGTGAATGATCCAATTAAGAAATGGGCAATGGACCTAAATAGAATATTTTCAAAAGAAGACAGAAAGGAAGGCCAAAAGCCACATGAAAACATGCTCAAAGTCACTAATTATCTGAGAGATGCAAATCAAAACAACAATGCGGTACCATCTCACACCTGTCAGAATGGCCAACATCAACAAATCAACAAACGACAAGTGTTGGCGAGGTTGCGGAGAAAAAGGAACCCTTGTGCACTGCTGGTGGGAATGCAGACTGGTGCAACCACTGTGGAGAACAGTGTGGAATTTCCTTAAAAAACTGAAAATGGAACTTCCATTTGATCCAGTAATCCCACTCCTAGGAATATATCCCAAGAAACTAGAAACACCAATCAGAAAGGATATATGCACCCCTATGTTCATAGCAGCACAATCTACAATAGCCAGAATTTGGAAACAGCCTAGGTGCCCGTCAGCAGATGATTGGATCCAAAAACTATGGTACATCTATACAATGGAATACTATGCTGCCATAAAAAAGAAGGAATTCTCATCATTTGCAGCAACCTGTATGGAATTGGAGAACATCATGCTGAGTGAAATAAGCTAATTAATGAAAGAGAAACACCACATGACCTCACTCATTTGTGGATAATAAAGATCATTATAAACTGATGAACCAAAAGATAGATACAGAGACAGTAAAGCAACAAGCAGATTGTTAAATTTCAGCAGGGAGGGGAGGAGGATCTGGGGGAGATAATAGATCAACTGAAGGACTTGTATCCATGCATATAAGTACAACCAATGGACATAAAACTCTGGGGAGGGAGGGGGGAAAAATCAATAAAATATGTAAAAATAAATAAATAAATGTTTTTAAAAAAAAGAACTTGTAGGAAATAAGTGGCTATCTTGTGTATTTTTATGATTTCAAGCTTTTTTACAATTTCTAGCACATGCAAGCAAAAGGTCAAGTTTTTAGGGGACATTAATTATTTTTTCATTAAGTATTCCTGAAAAGTGACAAATATCTATCAATTTTAATGTATACCATGATCTGAAATAACATTGAATGCCTGCTTTTCCAAACTAATAAATATCAAATAATCCCCTTAAAAACACAAGGGTACAATTAATGTAAACAGCAACTTCCAGTAATCAGCCAGATCAGTGCTGTAGAATTAAAAGATTAAATATAAGTAGAAGGCGTCAAGTGAACAACAACAAAACAAAACAAAACAACCAAACTAAAAAACTATGCTTTGACTTCAGGTGCTATCTGGCCAGGGTTTAATTATGTTAAGGCTATAGTTAAGCTTATGCAGGAAATGCTCAGACCTTATCCACTGAGTACTTTCAATACATCAGGCATTGCTCCAAGCATTTTCTATGTAGCAATTCATTTAAACCTTACAACAATCTTAGAAGTTAGTACTATTACCCCATTTTATAGCTAGATGAACTAAGTACAGCAAGTTTAAGTATCACATAGCTGAAAAAAATGAGCCCAAGATTTGAACCCAGACAGATTGATAGTAGTGCTCATAGACTCCTGCACTTAATACCAGGTAATTTGATCCTAGACAAGGTGGGATTATCGTCTGAAGAGAACAGCTGCCATTACACTCAAAATTTTCAATTATGCAAGGTTAGCTGCAGGATTGCTTAGATTTTAAGTGCAGAGCCAAACCCCTACCGCTTAATAGCCAGGTGACTGAGGATAGGGTAATTAATTTCTCTCTATATCTCTGAGCTGTAAAACTGGGCTAATAAATGCACCCAGCCGTTCTCCAAATTTAGTGTGCATAAGATCCCCAGAAGGTTGTGGTTCAATAAAACTGGCCAGGCTCAGGAACCTGCATTGTAAATAAGCACTGAAAGTAATTTTGATATAATCTGTCCGCAGAAACCCTTGGGGAAATACTGAATTCTCTCTCATGAAAGAGGTGGGGAGATTAGGCCTGTGAAACAAGGCCTGGGCACAGTCCTAGCACATAATGAATGGACAGAAATAGCAGCTCTTATTTGTTTCACGTTACAGAGACAGACTTAGGTCAGAACAGTGAGAGGAGTCTCAGATCTCAGAGGATGTTGCAGATGAAGGGACAGAGTATTCCAGGAGGATAACGACCAGTATTCCCGTACTCTTTGCTTTTGGTTAGGTATCATGAGCAGGAGGAGAGAGGTAATTGCCAATTCCTTTCCTTCTCACCCCAGATCTCCTCGAAAATACTTACTTAGGTTTGCCTTCAGCTTTAACAAGAGAGCTACTCTATTTCAAGGGTCCCTCTGCTCATTCTCTCCCCATATTTCCTTACACACTTGCACATGCCAGTTTCCTTTCCTAGGAGCAACCTTTCACTCTATAGTTTGATGTGAAAAACAAAATGTAAATGTCTGGATGAGGTCATGTTTAGTTTGAATATGTTTCAGCAATGTGTCATTAGTTTAACGAATGTGCATGCCCATTTAATAAATCCATCCTTGTTTTGATAGGGTGAAGTGGTGAAGGAAACTGGAGATTTTACTGTACCTAAAACAAAGGAAGGAAATCAAGGAGGGTAGGAAGCAGGCTACAGTGCAGAGAGAGGACTGGAGATGACATACTGACCACGCACTGTGTCTGGCTCTATTGACTTTTGTTCTTTAAAGTGAGCTGGAACCCTTGAGGCACTGTGTCCAAGAGCTGCAAACACAGCTAGCTCTTTTGCATAATTTATCAACTTTTCTTAAACTTACTTGTTTTTTAGAAACTTTCTTAATGGAGGGAGCATTATACAGTATTCTGGTGTAATGTCTGGGCCCCAAAAATGTAGTCTAAGAATAAATCTACAACCTACCTTATCATAAATAAGTGTGGTAGATGTGTTTTAAGACTAATGTACCAACACTCACACTGCCCCTCTACAATGTCTTAAAGTAGGACATGCATGCATGTGTACCTTTCTTTGGTGTGTGGTAAGACCACAGTGCACAGACATGCACTGGGGTCCTCGGGGCCTGGGGCTTGGGTGCCATTTACTTTGGGCGGACAGCAGGAGGAAGGCTCCAGGCTCCTAGGTTAGGATTAGGCTCACCAGGGGTGGGATTCCTGACCTTATACAAATCATTTAGCATCACTGAACCTCACATTTTCTATCTGTAAAATGATGAGTCATGAAAATTAAATAATGAATATAAAATGTCTATTACAGATTCTGGTACATAACACAGAAACATTCATGATGTAGCAGCTCATTATAAATCTTACATTTTTTTGTTATCTCTGCACTAGACCGTCTGTTGACCTATGCTTAGGCAATTATACATTAAAAATCTTATTCTGGTTTAGTTTCTAAAATGTTGTGTATACCCTGTTTTCCTGAAAATAAGACAGTGTCTTATATTAATTTTTGCTCCCAAAAATGTGTTGGTCTTATTTTCAGAGATGTCTTATTTTCAGAGATGTCTTATTTCCAGAGATGTCTTATTTTTCCATGAAGAAGAATTCGATACACATTTATTGTTAAATGAAAATAAAGGACATTTATTACCTGTATACGATACGGTAGTACGGTAGTTGTCAACACAAACCAGACAAACTGTGAATCCTACAGTATCAAGAATTTACACATTTATTATTAAATGAAAATAAAGGACATTTATTACCTGTATACGATACGGTAGTACGGCAGTTGTCAACACAAACCAGACAAACTGTGAATCCTACAGTATCAAGAATTTACTCATTTATTCAATGACAATCATGTCATCATCATCTGGAACATCATCATAACAATCCAATTCCTGAATTTCCTGGTGAATTTCTTGTGACTCCATTTCTTTCCGAATCAGTGGACCAAATCTTATGTTTAGCCTAGGGGGGTGGGGCTTATTTTTAGGGGGATGCCTTATATTTCACTCAGAAGGAAACCTATAAGTAGGTCTTATTTTCGGAGGATGTCTTATTTTTTGGGAAACACGGTAATATGGCTTGTGGTATTTAAAATACTGGTATATCCTGACCACAATGGTCAACACATGTGATTTTAGCCATAAAATCACTTAAAAATTAGCTTCATGTTTGAAAGTGCAGCAGGAATCTTGCAACCATGGAGCCATACACATGAGAAAAATAATAATGTTTAATAATAGTAGAACAGAAAGACTGGCAAACTCTGGGACACTTATGTAACCACTGAGTAATTATATTAGCCCTAGACTGCTTACCTCTGTGCATCTTGTTATATGAAAATAAAATAAATCTGTATTTGCTTGGGTCGCTCTAGTTTGATTTCTGTTACTTGCAGACAAAGGCACTTTTATCAATTAATAAAGACTAAACCATTCTGGGTGAGATAATGAGAGTTTTTCTCCCCTGCTCTAGAGAACAGATGGCTCAGCTGACATGTTGGAGTATGGTTGAAATTAAGAATTCTGGGGCATTAAAACTCATGATACTGGAATAGCCAGAGGACCTTTTAATAACAAAAACGCCTATTGTTCAAAGTTCCTTGCAGAGTTGTATTGTCAGTAAAATCTATTGACCTTATTCATATTTTATGAATAGAGTCTTATGGAAATGAGAGAATAATGACATTTCTCACCTGGATCAAAAGTGTTTTAACAGGCCGAAACCAGTTTGGCTCAGTGGATAGAGCATCGGCCTGTGGACTGAAGGGTCCCAGGTTCTATTCCAGTTAGGGGCATGTAGGTGGGTTATGGGCATGTCCCCAGTGGGGGGTGTGCAGGAGGTGGCTGATCGATGTTTCTCTCTCATCGATGTTTCTAACTCTCTATCCCTCTCTCTTCCTCTCTAAAAAAATCAATAAAATATATGGTATATATTTTTAAAAAGTGTTTAACAGAGAGAATATGTGCAAGTAAAAGTCCCAAGATCAAACTGAATTGGGGAACATAGTCCAAGTGGCATACAGTGAAATTTGGGGTGGGCTTTATGTTTGCACAGGTTGGTTCATTTGGGTTGAGGTTTGAGCCAATCTTACTTGGTAACTGCATTGGAAGGCTTCTGGGTGACATTTGGATGGCATGCCAGTAATCCAATGACTGGCAATTTGGCTAAATTGAAGAATCCTAATAGTGTACTTTTACTCCTAAGATATCAGAATGCTTTCAAGCATGTCCTTTCCCCCCTCTTCTGATAGGAAATCTACATATACTTCCTTAAGTTATCTGATCTCCCCTCTCACCTTTATTTTTAGAATTCTTTGCCACTTACTTTCTTATCTCTACTCCAACACAATCCTAACTTACAGAGTTGAAAAAATACGTTGTCATCCTTGTGTGTGTTTAAAATGTTCTACGCATCACTGACCTGCAATTGCATTACCTGCTTGGTCTTCCTTTTATGGTAAAACAGAAAACCTGTGGACGGACTTCACAGCTAAAAGTTGACTAGAGGGTATATTCATTTCCTGCTGTAACAAGTTACTGCCTCCTACGTGGTTTAACACCACAGACATCTATTCTCTCACATCTCTAGAGGCCAAAACCATGAAGTCAAGATGTCAGCAGCGAGACGCCCTCTTGCAGTCCTAGGAGAACCTCTCCCCGCCTCTGCGTCACCTCCAGTGGCTGCAGATCCCTCAGCTTCCCGGGCTGTGGTAGCGCCACTCCAACCTGTGCCTCTGTTGCCACGTGGCCTTCTTTTATGTCTCCTTGGTGTCTCCAAATCTCCCTTTTCTTACAAGGACACCAGTCATTGGATTGTTTATGAGAGAAAGTTTAAGCTTATAGATAAATTTTATAAGAGTTTATTTGAGCCAAATGAGGGTTGACCCAGAAGCAAAATCTCAAAGGATTGAGAAAATGCTCCCAGCACAGCAGTTTTGCAGTTCTTTTCGTGAATTTGGAATCAAAAGGGAAGGCATAAAGGAAGGTCACATGAAATCCATTGGTGGTAGATTGAGGTGGAAGAAAGCAAAGTGGGGAAATCTTTTGGATTGAATGAAAAGTAAAATGAAGAGAGATGCATACTTCTTTTCCATTGGTGGGTGCGGGGTAGTTAACATTTACAGTACACAGCGAAGGTATGTGGGCAAAAAGATGGCACTGAAGAGTTTTGTGGTCTCCTGCTCTGGTGCTGACCATTGTGCCTCTGAGGTCTGGGAAAGAGAATTACTCTGACATTGAAATGTGTGTTGTCTTAGATGCATAAGAACAATGGACAGGGATCCCTTAAAGTAAAGACTGACCTGTGTTAAGGAAGCTATAGGCATGGGACATGACTACCGCCATGACCTGCCCAGGTAGAAATTAATGATTAGACCATCCAGTGTGGTTACTTTCTGTCACTGAGCCTACCAGGCCTTCTAGGCCTGCCAGGTAGCCCCTTGATGTTTACAGAATTTAGGGCATATCCTAATTCATTAAGACCTCATCTTAACTTGATTACATCTTCAAAGACTTTATTTCTAAATATATAAAAGGCTAAGTGACTGACCGTCTATCCGACCATGTGACCGACCAGCTGGTGCATATGATGAGTACTGGCAATCTACAAATAAATAAGATTAAGTGACTGACCATATGTCCTTCCGACTATCTGACCAACTGGCCACTACACAAAAATAAACATTGACTCGTGCATGCACGATATATATAAAGCTTTCACTGGCACCAATTTTTGTTGCTGTTATATAATGTTATTGTTTATTTATTAATCAATTTATATATTATTTTCATATACATTTTTCTAATTTTCTTTCATCCCTGATAGCTCTTCTATTATAGAAAAAGGGCAAATGGCAATATTAAAATATTTCTTCTAATTAATTTCCTTTCAATGTGCACGAATCCATGCACCGGGCCATTAGTTTAAAAATAAACATTGATTTGTGCAAGTGCAATACATATAAAGCTCTCACTGGCACCAATAGCACGCATGTGTTTTGATCTTTCCTTGTCGATTGTGAATCTGGTTGACATATCTATTATAGAGAAAGGGTGAATAGTGGTATTAAAATATTTCTCCTAATTAATTTTCTTTCAATGTGCACACAAATCTGTGCACTGAGCCACTAGTTTCTAAAAAAGGTCACAGTCACAGGTCCTGGATGGACATGATTTAACCCAGGACAAAAGGGAAGTCCTAAGTATAAACTGCCATTTAATTAAGAGGAAATCATCTCTTTTATCCTGTCCCCATCCTCACAAGTACAAACTGACTCGCTGAAAGTCATCTACAGCAGGAGTCAGGACTTTTTCTGTAAAGGACCAGATAGCAAACATCTTGGGTTTTGCAAGCAATCAGTTCTGCGGCTGTAGAGTGAGAGCAGCCATGGACAATACATAAACAAATGAGCATAAAGGTGTTCCAATAAAACTTTATTTACAACAATAGGCTGCAGGCTTGATTTGCTGGGATTACAGTTTGCTGATCCCTGATCTATAGCATTGAGAAATTGCTAACCAAGATAGAAATAGATAAAGCTGCCTAAATTTCTATGAACCCTGGTAGACATTAACATGTAGTTCAGAAAAGAATAAATTACAGCCGAAACGGGTTTGGCTCAGGGGATAGAGCATCAGCCTGCAGACTGAAAGGTCCTAGGTTCAATTCAGGTCAAGGGCATGTACATTAGTTGCAGACATATCCCCAGTAGGGGGTGTGCAAGAGGCAGCTGGTCGATGTTTCTCTTTCATTGATGTTTCTAACTCTCTATCCCTCTCTCTTCCTCTCTGTGGAAAATCAATAAAATACATTTTTAAAAAAAAGAATAAATTACAGTAATAACATTTTCCAAATAAATAATATCCTTTAAATGACTTCTACGTTTTATTCTACCTTGGGTATTGAAGAACATGAGAATAGAAGTAAAAGCGGAAAAAGTATAGGTGTGCCAGGCATCCTGGAGTTAAGGGCTAGCTGAATATTACTGTGAACACAATGTGGTTTTTTAATATTTTGCAATAAAGTAAATGTTGAAGTTATTCCAGGAAATACTATAACCATCCTACTGCTATAACCAAGTCATGCCAGTTTAGTCAAGTAAAAAATGGTGCATTCGAGTGCAATTTAATGTGTTGTGGAAGATTTTCATGAACGTCGAAGTCTGGTTATGACCATGATGACTAGACCCAGGAGAAACCAGAGGAATTTTACTAGGTACTTGAAAATGGAGAATACAAGCAAGATTGCCTTCGGAACAATCGGCACTCTTGTTTATTGGCCTCTTTAGTTTATTCCAAGAACTATTAAGGCACGGCAAAATAGAAATACTTAAACATCATTAAACAGCCTGGAATTTTACCTGTGGCAAAGGGCACCCAACCAAGCAACTGAAGAGGATGGCATGAGAGCCATGTATGTAGGGGCACCGGCAATGATTTAACCCTCCTGGGCTACTGTGCAGAGGCTGTGCCCCAAGATTCTAGCAAATGGTGGACTTCAGGAACAAGGAAGTCTTCAGGATCCAGGGACGTCCTCCCCATGGCAGCACCCATCTCAGTGAGGTGGGACATGCCCCTTTGAGGGAGCCCAAGACTTTGACCTTGTCAGGATAATCGCCACTTTCCATTCTTCCTCAGGTGGTACAGGGCCACACAGCTGTGCCACTGTGTTGGCTGATTTAGAAAAACTCGAATGGG